GCTGCAGAGGGGCTTGCAACGACAAGACCTGTGGGCGGCAACACTGCTGCACGATTTCCCTGGTCGGCGCCCGCTGGCGACCCCGAAGGGCTCTGGGTGCCCTGCGGATCCCCCCCCCCAGCCCCTGGAAAACAGCAAGCACTAGCACGTGCAACGTCAACCTGGGAAAACATACAGCAACGCCTTGCAACCCCCAAGACCTTGAGATGCGTCATGCCCTTGAGGTCCCCGTTCATGTACTTGATGATCAGGCCGGCCTTGACGACGGCCTTCGCGCCCGCAGGCGCGTCGCCCCCCGCCATGGCCACGAGCGCCTCGGCATCGTTGACCATCTTGGCGGAGTACGCCCTGCAGAATGCACGTTGCAGTAAGTTGTGCTGAGCCCTGCCGCGGTAGCACCACGCATTCGCCTTCTCCATGTGCTTCCATCTGTACTCCAGCGCCAATGGGCAAGTCGCCCCAACTGACATGTTCACAACATGTTGAAACTTCTTCAATGCATCCGTGCGAGTCCTGCCGCACACGCAGTCGTGCCCGCACCAATGAATGAGAGCCGCCTCTTCGGACTCCCAATCTCCGTTATCATACCGAAGGATCTCCAGCTTCGATCGCTCGGTCATCTCGTAGCCGCCAGTAAGGTCCAGGACCCGACGAGCATGGGAGCGCCACTGCTGAAACCCAGGAGGCAGCTCTAGAAAAAGGCCGATACCTGAAGTGATCGCGGACTTCTGCATCGAGGGCAGCCTCGTATTTGGACGCAGATCGAGACGATTGGCACAAGTGCCCGCACCTCGCGACGAACGCACTGAGCCCTCCAAAAGCCTGCACAGTGGCTTCAAACCCAGCACGCACATGTGGCCACAGCAATTCAACGAAAAAATAGTAGGCACACCTCCAGCAGCATCGTGGAGCCCGTGTTTCGTAAACTCCTCGCGCCTCATCTTGCAGTCCTTCTCGCAGACGGCGACGATGTTGCTGTTCAGCATGAGGCAGTCTCGAATCATTCCCAAGTTCTTCCATATCGAATTGTTGAGGGCATTCCCGAGGATGCCGTCGCAGTCGACGCTGATGCCAGCGCTAGACGTGCCGTTGCATACTGCCCAGCGTCGCCACCTGTCCAACACCGTCGCGTAGTTCGCCTCGGGCAGCGGCTGCCCAGGGCTGGCCACCGTAGCAGCTGTTGTCACCGAGGGCCTCGCACGCATAGTGATCATCTTCACAACTGTCTCGCAAGAGTTGAGAACGGGAACGTGGACCATGGTGCCCATCTTCCGATGTCTCCGCAACGCCATTTGTGAGCTCTCTGGCGCCGCGGCGATAATGGTCTCGATGTCTTGGCGAGCTCGGGAAATCCACATTGATGCATCGTCGAACGTGTTGACGAACTGCCAGCAGTCGGCGTCGGGGGCGCCGACGTCCAGCCAACTGCGCAAGCCACGTGCCTGCGCCACCGCGTGGGAAGTCAACAACCTCACGGTGTCCGCTTTTTCCGTGGGGCGTCGATCAATGCACGCTGGTACCGCACAAGTATCATCTCCAGCAGCAGGCGTCGGTACCATCTGCACGCTCCTCTTGGCAGCCTCAGCGCTATGTGGAACTCCAGACATAAGATTATGAACTAGACTTTCGGCATGCAGCTCAATCCGCCTGGCAACCTCCGAGCGGGCATCATCAGCTCGCCGTCGCTGGTGTGATCCTCGCATCCGCGCGATCGTCAGATCGCTGTGCGAGAAGCCTGCCCGTCGCCCCTTGCCCTTGCCGCCTCGGCCTCGGCCGCCTCCGGCTCCTCGGCCGCGCCGACCTCGCCCGCGGCCGGGCCCTGGCCCTGGCGGCGGCGCGGCTGGCGCCTGCTCATCAGGCGCTCCTGCAGCTGGTGGCGCGACGAAAGCGCCAGCCACAAGCCCTGCAAACATGCTGAGGCTCTGCAGCAACATGCCGCGAGCCTTGGGCCAAAATGGCTTCGGATAAAGTGCGGCGCAACTTCAGTGCTGAGTCAATCGTTCGCCTCGTGAGTGCCACTCTTGTTGTGGACTCTTGTCAAGGCACCCGCGAAGCACCGCGCGGCACGGCACTATGACGGACGGGGCACGGCACTGCGCGGCGCTGCGCGGCACCGCGCGACACTGCACGGCACTGCACAGCACGGCGGCACGGAACCGACTCCTCCTGAGCGGCGCGGCACTGGATAGGAGGAGCGGTGGTGCGCGGGGGGGCACGGCACCCACGCGGCAACGCAAATCCGAAAGTGCGCGGATTGTTACATACATTCACACATACATGCATACATACATACAGACATACATACATACACGCATGCATGTAACCATGCATGTATACACATACCCACATACACGCATACAGAGATACATATATACATACATACATACATACATACTTACACACATACATGCTTACATACAATACATACGCACAATGTGTAGCATACGCCTATGTAACATAAGAGGGAACAGTGCTACGCGGCACGCCACGCGATTCAGGAGCCTCAGGAGCCTCAGGAGCCTCAGGGTACGTCATTCCCACGCTACTCCTCTCTACTCGTTCTTTCCTCCTCTATTTCTTCGTTCCTCCTCCACTCGCTCCTTCGCCCTCTGCTCCTCTGCTTCCTATACTCACCTCCTCCACCCTCCCTCTTACTCATCCCTATTACTCCTTATATACTTCTCTTGCTGCGACCCCCTCCTCTACGTGCTTCGCTGCTCTGCATCTCCTCTTATCCTCCTTCCCGCGTTACCCTCCCCCCTTCCTCCTCCTGCCGCGCGCAGCACGCGCGGGGCAGCCTCGAACTTGTCGAGGGCGTCGCGCCGCGCGCGGCGGGCCCTCGCCCCCCCTCCTCCGCCTCCTCCCCCTCTCCTCTCCTGATCCCCCCTACTCTCGGGCCACCCCCCTCTCCTTCTTCCCGCTTATCAAGCCTGCCCCGCTCCCTTTCCTTTTCCTCCGTGCGCTTCCCCGCGCGTCGTTCCGCCCCCACGCCCCCCGCCCGAGGATGGTAGAGTAGGGGAGGGGAAGGGAGGGGGGGAGGGAGAGAACGAAAGAGAAAACAGCAAACACAAACAAGAACAGCGAGGGGTACACATTCGACCAAGTGTTTCTGCACACGTGTGGGCGGGGGTCTCGAATCTAGTACGCCCGAAATTATAAACCCACGATGGGCGCTTAAATGTTGCCTACTGCAAAGGCAACAGTGCACCATACACATACATCTACGAACATGGGACAACGAACGCTGCCAACGCGTCTAACCCACGGCATGGCGCATTTGCGCTTGTTGGCACCCTGGAGCTCTGCACACGTGCATCATCATGCGTACTAGTGTACACATACATATACACGCGTGTATATGTAAGTATGCACGAAGATCCAGGATGCTGCACGCTCGCAGTAGTACATCATGCCTAAGAAACCACGTGCAACATAATTTCGGGCAGGCGCGTTGGCAACGTCGTTTCCTCCTGATAACTATATTTAATTATATTGAACACATTTGTCTTTCAAAGCAGTACGACCGTGAGCAGCACGATGGACTCCAGCAACCCCATCGTGCACAACATTACGAATTCCAGCAGCACGACCGTCAGCAACATGACGGAATTCAGCAACATCAACGTCGGCAACACGACGGACTCCAGCAGCACGACCGTGAACAGCAGGACGGAATCCAGCAACACCATCGTGAGCAACACGACGGACCCCAACAGCACGTCCGTGAGCAGCACGGGGGCGCGGAGGCGAGGAGGGGGAGGAGGCGAAGAGGCGAGGAGGGGGAGGAGGCGAGGAAGCGAGGAGGGCGAGAAGGACGAATGCCACCAGGAGGGCGCGGAGGCGAGAATCGGGACGATCGATATGGGTACGGGTACGGAAACCATGGGTACAAGGTCCAACAGCAGAGTTCTTCTTCATTCTGAACAGGGTTCGTTGTCGCCGTCGCCGCGGTCGTTGCTCATTTGACACAAAGGCCGCCTGCCCAACAGCGGGTGTTGTTGGACATCGTAGCCATTTTCTTCATACCCAGTTTGGGCGTCCATAGAGGGGGAGGAGGCGAGGAGGCGAGCGCCCCCAGAGGCCAGAGTTCTCATCGTCCGCACGCTCCTTGCTCTGCTGCTGCCATTTCCCCTCCCACAGGGCGAGGGAGGAGGGAGGAGAGGGGGCAGGCAGAAGACGACCACGACGACGACGACCACGACGGCGACGGCTGATACCGGCGCAAAAACCGTTCGTCATGGTTTGTTCACTTGCTGCCCCCCTTCGCGAGGGGCAGCGATGGGGGGGCCAGCTCAGGGAGGGGAGAGACATTGACCTGGAATCGGCGAGATGTCGCCGATAGATCGGCGATATGCTCCTGATCGCAGATCCGCACGCTCCTGAGGAAGGTGGGCCCATCAGCCCCCAATCGGCGACCCGTGGTCGATGCATCTCCCCCTCTGCCCATCCCCCCTAACGTTGCCCCTGAAGCTCGCACTGGCCGCTCAGCCTCCAGAAACACCCAGGTGTTCGGTGCCCGAGGCCGCCTGCGCACAACTCGTGGCGAAGACTCTCTGCGCCTGAGGCCCCCCCCCCGCGTTCCTCCTCCGCGGCCGCCCTCCACTTCTCCTGGTTGCCTGATGTGCCCCTGCCCCCGCGCGGCCCGCCAACATTCCGAGCGCATTGGCGCCCGCCCTCGCTACCGACCCACAAAACAGCTGTTGTTCACGACGCGAGCCTGTCTGGGGAGACGCTTAGACGCCTCCTAGATGGGGTCGGAATAGATTTGATCGGAGAATTGCACCGCATCGGCGATGCGCCCGCGATGAATCGGCGATGCATCGGCGACGTCGGCGCTGCATCGGCGACGTCGGCGTGGAGAACATCGGGCTCTACATCGAGCCGCATCGCCGATGCATCGGTGATGCATCGGCGACGCGGCGCGATGCTCCGACTCCGTTCACTTGGGCCCCGTCTGGCAGGCCCAGAGAGCACTGCCGCCCCCCCCACCCCCAGCTCGCCTCTCTGCCGATCAGCGCCTTGCGGTGGAAGGGCTCCGCCTCGGAGTACCTGCGGGAGCCGCGGCAGCACAGGGGCGGCGCCGCAGCGCTAGGGGGAACAGCTCGGGGAGGATCATCGCCGAAGGCGATGGGCTCGAGGTTTTGAAGGGGCCTCGGGACACACAAAAAAATAGACACAAATAACAAAATCCCACATTTTTCAAATATTTTCTGGGTTTTCGCCTCCCCCCCACTTCCCGTGTTTCCAATATTTGCCGGGGAATCGACGATTAATTGTCTGTGTGTTTTTGTTCCCTCCTGGAGGTTTGAGATTCGCAGTTTCCAGACGTCTTCGTTGGTTCTCGGCGGCTTTCCAGCCTCGGGGTGCCTGCCAGCGGCTGCGCCTCGCCGAAGCGCCCCGGGCTGCCCAGGTCGTCCAGGTGGTCGCCGGAGGCCCAAGCTGTGACTCGGAAGCCAGCAGGCGACGGCTCAGGGTGGGGAGCATCGGCCAGGCATCGGCGGCACATCGCCGAGAGGTCGGCGACAGGCGCCAGATATCGGGGGCGCGCAAACATGGATTAGCGATCCATGGATTTGGCGCGCGGTCGCCAAATCCATGGAACGGGCGGGAGAGGTGCCCTCCCCAAGATGCGGCCGGTGCCGCCTCGCTCGGCGGCGGAAATCCGCGATTTCCCATGGAAACGGGACCCGTCGCTAATCCACGCCCCCTTGATCCATGTTTGCGATCGCCTGATGATAGCGAAGCCGAGCGCTCCTGGGCGGGCATGGGCAATCGGGGGTCGATGCATCCACCCGAGCATGTTCTCCCCTTGACGTTGCCCCAGGGCCCTGTGGAGAGGAGCGGGAGAGGGAAGCCGACTGCCGTGCACATCGGGCCGCCGCCGTGGAGCAGGTCGGTCAAGATCCACACTGCCCTGATGCGCTGGTGGGATCGCGGGTGCGACAAGGGCGTCCATGCACCGCACCATGTTTGGATTCCCTTCAAGCCTCGCTCCAACGAGGTGCGGTGCATAACTTCTGGCTTCGAGGGCCGAAACACTTTGCTCCGTACCTTTCTTTGGTCGAGGATCCACGACGCCTCGGGAGACGCCAGCGCGGTACGGCGCATACATGCCGTCCACGCAGCAGGAGTAACATTAGGTCGGGCGTGTCCCCCATACAGGGGGGCTTCGGACGGAAAATAAAAATCGTCAACAGTATCCCCAAAATGCTGAAACATACTAAACAAGACGTCGCATACTATGTTTTAAACTATGATTGAATATTCCTCCTGGCGAGGGACACGCCCGACTTACGAAAAACATTGGCATGAACCAAACGGGTCTTGGAAACGGGTCCTGGACCTCAGGGCCTTCCCCCGGGACCAAAATTTCTTGCCGAGTCGATTCTTCAGTCCCTGGGGCCCTGGGAAGGACGGCGGAGCCCGAAGCCCGCGCAATAAATCAGGGCTCCTTTCCCTCAGGAACTGATTGCTTCATGGCGACAGCCGGACATGACGTCGCGACTGCCGGACAACTTTGCGCAGGGCCTCTGGAGAAGACGGGCCTCTCGTAGATTCTGGCTTGGGCAACTTCGTGTGAGCCCTGCCCCTCCAGATGTCCGAAAAACCAGCTGGTGTTCTGAATTCGAAGATGTCTGCAGCCAAACTGGAGGCCTCCCACATGGGGTCCGAGAAAATGGTGTCGGAGGACCGGGTCGCATCGCCGATGCATCGGCAATGCATGGGCGACGTCGGCGCTGCATCTGCGAGGAGAACATCGGGCTCCACATCGAGCCGCATCGCTGAAACATCGGCGATACGGCGCGATCCTTCGACCCCGTCAACCGGACCCCATCTGGAAAGCGAACCAAGTGACCCCCAGCGAGAGGGTCCGATACCTCAGCGTCGATCGGACCTGGGGCTCGCAAGCAGCCGCAGAAGGCCGGCATGCCCTGCCGGCCTGCGGGCAGTGGCTGGGGTACCCGAGCGCCTCGGGCACGTCGTCGAGGGATCTCTTGGCATCCATGGAAGCCTTCCAGAGGGGTCGGGGTAGATGGTGTCGGAGGATCACGCCGCATCGTCAATGCATCACCGATGCATCAGTGATGCATCGTCGACGTCGGCGATGCGCTGGGGCCATCGGCGTGGAGAAAATCGAGCCGCATCGCCGATGCATCGGCGATGCAGCGCAATCCTCCGAGTCCACCTACTCGGACTCAATCTGGGAGGCCTGGAGTCCAGAGTGTACGGGTCACGATCAGTCAACATCGAATAAGGAAATCTGATCGAACCGACATGTGCGTCGGAGTCGCATCGGATCGGCCGTGCTAGCTTGCACAACCGACCGCGCCATGCAAGCACCAGGGGGCATCTGATGGCCCGAGTGTGGTAATCGATGTGGAATCGGATCTATTGGAGCGCAATAGACCCTGCTGGGGTGGCGCAGCCCGTTCCAGCGGGGCGCAGCCCCGAACGGGGACCCGACGGAGAACTCGCCTCGAGAACTCGCCTCTGTGCGTGCTGCCAAGCATGCAGTCGTCGCCACGTTCCCGCGGCCCCGGCGGAGGTAGTTCGAAACTGTTGGGATCCGGGCATCCGCTCCTCCCTCGACAAAGTAATACAGGAACCCGAGTTGCGCTCGCCACCCGCAAGAGGAGTGCGGCGGGGAGCCCCGCAACGAAATTCCGAAGCCTGCGCTCTCCGCTCAAAAGATATACCGGAATCCGACTCGTGTTCCCTTCGCACGACGGTGTGTAGGGGGCTTGGATGATCCCACCAGTCCTCTGGGCGCAGGTAGTCTAAGGCGCTTCCTCTCCCACCCCCCCTCCGTCCATTATTCGGGAAGGGTGATCGCTGCTCTGCGTTTGTATACATCCCCTTCCCCCCTGCTTGTGACAAATCCCAGTCAAGAAGTGCCCCCCCGCAATCCCTGTTCAAAAAGCAACAACGTGCAAATTGCAATTTGAGGCAAACATATTGTCCTGTTCGGGCCCCGCGCGAGCACTTCGCACTGTTTTCTGGCAGAGTCAGCGGGGACACCAGAAGATGTCATGTTGTGCGCAGGGCCATCATCCCTCTCAAAATGAAGACAAACAGCACTTCGCGGCTGAATCATGAGCGGGCCTCTGGAGGCCAAAGAAGGGTCAGGAGCGTGCAAAAATATCGATCCTGGATGCCTCTCCTCCTCCTCCTCCTCCTCCTCCTTCTCCTCCAACTCCTCCTCCTCCTCCTCCTCCTCCTCCTCCTCCTCCTCCTCCTCCTCCTCTACGTAACACGAAAGAAGACGAGGACACATTCTGATGAGGATGAATCGCAAATCTCTGAGAACTGGCGGATCTGGACGATGTATCGGGTGCCGCACCCGTTCCAAAACGCTCATGAACTCTCTGAGGGGGCTCCGGAATGCTCCAGGGTGACAGATCCTCATCTCAAGCCTGCCTGACTCCTCATCATCCTCTTCCTCCTCCTCCTCCTCCTCCTCCTCCTGCTCCTCTTCCTCATCATGCTCGTCCTGCTCCTCCTCCTCCTCTTCCCCCTCCTCCCCCTCCTCCTCCTCCTCCTCCTCATCTTCCCCCTCCTCCTCCTCCTCCTCCTCCTCCTCCTCATCATGATCACGATCATCATCACATCCCCGACTCGTTCTCATCTCTATGTTCAATCTCAAAAGCGTCAAAACCAGTCCCTGGGAGCCCTTCGGGATCCGTCCTATTATCTAGGTGCGCCGCGTCATGTCCCGACTGGCCCGAGGCATGTGCGAGGACGAGGGGTTGCCAGAGGTTGTCGAAAGCAGGACAAGAAGAAGAGAAGAGGAATAATGAGAGAGGAACAATAATATTATCAAAACTAATAAAACAAACATAAATACGAATAGTGACAAAAAGAGCAAAAGGATGAAACATAGGGGGCCGTTCTATTTATGAGTATGCCATGGTCCCGGCCAAACTATCCACACAAACGCACACACACAGTCCTCGCCATACCCCATTGGAAGCCCCCGGATCCTCTGGGCTCAAGCCAACACCCTGTCCAAACTGGTCCCGGGACCCCTTCTGGCGCCCGTGTTCGTTTCGCGCCCCCCGATCCTGTTATGGCGGCCATCTCTGGGACCCAGAACGGGCCCCCGACGGGCCTGAATCGAGGGCACCCCTCTGGCGCGGCCTCGTTTGTTCCTCCGCGGAAGAGCCAGAAAAAGGCAGATCGAGTGATCACCCTCAGGACGGCTGCCCCTATCGCAGATCCACGGACCAACGAGCATACCGAGATCAGTACACTGCAAGTCGAAGAACCATCGAAGATCTTAGTGCTCGATCGCAACCTTGAGCATCGTGTCGCCGATCCCTATCCCCACTGGCATGGCTTGGGCCCCACTGGCCGATTTACTCCGCTAGATGGGGGTATAGTATTTCCTCTGAGAATCGGGGTAAGATGCCAAAGGAATTAAGATCTCACGTTCACTCCGCTCAGGGAGAGAGGGGACGGGGTGAGACATCGATAGGATAAGTATCCGGTAAACAAATTTACTAGATCAGGAATGTAAAGGGAGGGGGCCGGCTGGCCTACGACAGACGACGTGCGACGGCCGAGGGCTGGCGCGCTCCTTTTCTCTCCTGCAAGCAAACGAAAGCTTGCTTGAGTAAACAAACAGCTGCAGTATGCAGCATTAGTTCAAGGCAGACAGTGCGCAACATGCAAGATGACTTATCATGTATTTTATTATGAAACGGAGAGGAGCATATGTACTCCCCCCGCGGCGGGCCTCGTAAAGCCCATCCGGCCACAGCACCCCTGGCCTATACCTATGCACAACCACCGGAGCCAACCACAAGTACTTTTACGGCTCAACGGTGGCGACCAGGGGGCAAAGGGCCGAAGATTCCCGACGACTCCCATCATCACATAAATAAATTCTCTCCGCTGGACCGGCTTAGCCGACCAGTCGAATTGATTGCCCATCCAACACGCGTGCCGCGCGTGGATGAGAACTTCCTTGCATGCGCCTGCCGCGACTAAGTCACGCGGGCGGAACTCTGCCCAGCTCACTCCACGGGCCCCCCTCTTCCACGGGCGGC